CTGCCCACCTCAGCCTCCCAAAGTGCTAGGATTACAGGCATTCACCACTCTGCCTGGCCGATGATTTTTTTTTTTTTTTTAATTAAGATAGGAGCAAGGGGAGGTGAAGATCTGGTTGCTTTATGAGTTTATACCCAGATGTTTGTTACTCTTGCAGGCACTGGTGATAGCAGAATTAGACTAAATGTTAACTGTCTGTAACAGCTCCCCCTTTCCCAACCCCCATTTTAAATTTTACTGCAAGTAAAATGAGTAGAGAGAGATGGTGACTGCCCTGAACCCTGCCACCCCTTATCTCAGTCCCTGAGGTGCCATTTGAAATATGGCTCCTCCTCATATTCTAGATCTGGACCTTTCCTGGCCCTTTTCTCATGCCATCAAAACTACTGGTTGTTACTCCATTACCACAATAAGGTGTTCAAGTTACCCACTGAGGAGCTAACTTAGCTAGGGCCTGACCAATTTCAAGGGTTGCAGTTTCCAGTTCTGGGGTCTGTATTTTAATGGCAGCCTCTTGTTGCTGTGAGTGGCATAACTGAGTCACATATTTTAGGAGATGGAAGCCCTTCAGCACCATAGGTAACTCCAAATAAGCAGCTTCTTGTACCACTTGTTTGCAGGAGGCCAGTACGCAGCTGCCCCACAGATGAGTGAGACCTGTTTTCTGATGTTCTGTGAAATCACAGTCTTTAAGTCTTACCCGAAAAATTGCAAGGAAAACCACATTAGAAAGTAAAACTGATAAATGTCAGAAATCACCCTTTTTCTGTTCACCATCCTCTGTCTCATTATCCCTCTTTCAACTATAAGACCCATGTCAATTTCTTATGTTTAAAACAAACAAGTAAAAAATTGCCTGTGCTTGGAAAATGAATATTTCAATACCATAGAGACCTTCCATTAGCCTTCAATTTCCATACTCAGAGTGCATAAATGAAACACTGTTTCTCAAAATCAGTTCATTGATAAGTTGCAGTGAAAATTTATTCCTTTGTGAACTCTGGGATTTCAGGCAAGGTATAATACTCAAAACTTCTTTGAACTTTTTGTTTTCTCATATGCACAAATGGGAATAATAACACCTACCTCACAAGATTGTTGTGAAGTTGATTAAATAAGATCATACATGTAAAGTACCTGGCACAGTGCCTAGGATATAAGTTGGAGCTCAACAAATGTAATCCCCTTTCTGGTTTCTTAGAAAATAGCCAACTAAACAGTTGAGGAGATTAGGGATAGTTTCAATGGAAAAGATAATGTTTGAACAGGTCCTTCAAGTTCAAGCATGGGTAGAATGGTGTAATGGAGAGATGTATTAAAGTGGTATTTAAGGTAAATTAATGCAACAGACAGGGTTGAAAGGCTGGTTGCAGGGAGAGCCATTATGTGCTTTTCACATGTGTCTAGGAACAATGAAGGGGGAAAGTGAATATTGGAAACACATCAAAGACAAAACTCAGAAGAGTTATTGATCTCCTGGATTCAGGAGTTACTGAGTTGCTGATGCCACAAGGAACCCAAGCTTGGTAGGAGATTGGGAGAGGGGCAGTGCTAGTGAATGAAAAGAAGTGGAGAGAGACAGGGAAAGCCATGCTTGAGATACTGTTGGAGGTGGGGTTTAAAAAGCAGTGGGCTTGATATTTAACTACGTTAATATTTAACTAGATATTTAAGAATCCTAATAAAATATTAAGGTATTTAAGTAGAAAGAGGAAGAGAGAAAAACTAAAGCTTTGGTGAGTTTTTAAAAAACACACACACACAAGGAAGAACTCGGCAGCAACAGAGGAGATTCATTAATTAAAACCATTGCACTGAATGAATCTCCTAAAAGAAAGAACAGTTGAACACCAAGTATAAAGCTTGATGAAAGTACTCAGTTAAGGAGGAAGAAAAGGAAGCTGAATGGGGGAAGAACCCCTGAAAGAGGGCTACGAAAGATGGAATGAGATGGAGAGTACCTGCCACAGAGAAGGGAGGAGCACTGGCATAGAGGACTCATGCCAGACATAGCAAAGAGGCCGAGAGAGGGTGTGGCGTGGCTTGCATTTCAGCATTATCGAGCCTTTTCTCTTGGCCTACTTCCTCATGTCCCTTTCTCCATGCCTTTTCCTGTCTTTCCCATCATTAAATGTTGAAAGCAGAACTAGAAGTGTCGAAAGCCAGTCCTTTACCTTCCTTCTCCGAAATAGCCTTTCTTCTGTTTGGTGTACAAAAAGCCCTGAACTCTGAGAGCTCGAGCAGTCTCTTAATCTCTCTGACTCAATCTCCTTACCCCAAATTGGAATCATACCTACCATCTCCCCTGCTTTTGGAAAAGTATGAAGCAGGGATACAATCTAAAAGTGCTTTCGTCAAGGACTTGTGCAAATGAAAGTCCTGGTTTCTTCATTCATTTTTGTGTTCCTATTAAGGAATACTTGAAGCTCGGTAATTTATAAAGAGAAAAGGTTTATTTGGTTTGTGCTTCACCAGGTTGTACAAGAAGCATAGCACTAGCAGCTGCTGCTTGTGAGGGCCTCAGGAAGCTTCCACTCCTGACAGAAGGCAAAGGGAAGAAGATGTGTGCAGAGATCACATGGAGAAAGAGAGAAAACAAGAGAGGAGGGAGGTACCAGGCTTTTTGCACAACCAGCTGTCACCAGAAATAATAGAGCAAGAACTTACTCACTACCACAAGGATGTCACCAAGCCATTCATGAGGGATCCACCCTCATCACCCAGACACCTCTCATTAAGCTGCATCTCCAGCATTGGGATTTTTGTTTTGTTTTGTTTTGTTTTGTTTGAGACATGGTCTTACTCTGTCACCTAGGCTGGAGTGCAATGACAGGTTCACAACTCACTGCAACCTCTGCCTCCCAGGCTAAAGTGACCCTCTCACCTCAGCCTCCTAAGGAGTTGGAACTACAGGCCCACACCGCCATGCCAGTCAATTTTTGTGCTTTGAGAGGGTAGAGATGGGGTTTTGCCATGTTGGCCAGACTGGTCTCAAATTCTAGAGCTCAAGCCATCCGTTGGCCTCAGCCTTCCAAAGTGCTGGGATTAGAGGCATGAAGCACCATGCTCAGCTGCGAATCATATTCCGACAGGAGATTTGGATGGGTGAAATACCCATACAGTAGGAGCTGGTAGATATCAAGCATATAACCTAGGTAGATAGATGGTTGCTAAAAAGTTGTCTTTAAATAACTTACTTTTTCTCATTTGTAGATTTTTACAGATTATTTCTTTGTAAGCTTAGTGATCTGTTTTAATATTGTTATAAATGCTCAGAATCTTAACAGGGAATTGAAGGTGTTTGTGCAGCATTATGCCTCTTAGATGTAATTGTCATTTGAACCTGAAATTATCTTTACTTTCATGCCTAGTTAGTAATCATTTGATTACAGGATTACATGGAGTGAACATAGAGAAGAGTAACTGAAGGAGAAAAGTGGCTCAAGCCTTTTTTTTTCTTCTAGATAAGTATATTTCAGTTTGTTTCAATGCATAAAATACAAGTCTGTAATATTCACAATGGTTTAAAATGCTACAAAATAATTCCGTTTCCTAAAATTTTTAGTACGCTTTTTAGTCCTCAAAATCAATCATGAGAAAGTTAAAGTAGAGCACATGTGGAAATTTTGAAGTTAATATCTAGGAAGTTAATATCTCAACTGTAAATGAGGAAATATGAGATGCAGATGCATCAGGTAAGTTATGTGCATTTCCCAGAGTCTTACTCTGATTTGTTTTGTTTGTTTTGTTTTTGAGGTAGAGTCTTACTCTGTTGCCCAGGCTGGAGTGCAGTGGTGCGATCTCGGCTTACTGCAACCTCCGCCTCCTGGGTTAATGCGATTCTCCTGTCTCAGCCTCCTGAGTAGCTGGTACTACAGGAATGCACCATCACACCCAGCTGATTTTTCTGTTTTTAGTAGAGATGGGGTTTCGCCATGTTGTCCAGGCTGGTCTCAAACTCCTGGCCACAACTGATCTACCCACCTTGGCCTCCGAAAGTTCTGGAATTACAGGTGTGAGCCACTGTACCCGTCCTTACTTTGATTTTTAAGAAAATTTTTTAAAAGTTATCTTTCAAAATTTTTTGCCCTCAATTTTTAGAAGGCAAGCATAGATAACAGCGCTTTTCCTTCTGAAATAGTCACTGTGGAGAGAGGGTGGGTTTGGTTCATATTTACATTACACTGTCACTTCATTTTCAGTAGCAGTGTGCTAAATTGTAATGTTCTTTGTTTTTCCTATATTCCCCAGCATCTGTGGCATATAAAGGAATTTAAACATATTTCTCATAGAAACCTCATAAATTAATGATTAATCCCTGATTGATTCTTATGTCCTTCACTATATTCTTGATTGTCCATTTCTTAGACACATACACATGCACACAAGTTAGTGCGTATACTGTATAATTATTAACGAGTTAGAAGTGGTGTAAATAAGTGTTTTTATGAACAGTTATAAAAGTCGTCAGTAAAAAGGATCTGTTTGATACCATTAGGTGTGTTATACAAAAGTATGCATGCACATTCGCCCTTCTGTGGAAGTATGGAGCCTTGCAGTGCTGTCCACAGAACAGAATGAACAGAATAATGCAAGCAGCTTTACCGTTTACTATTTCATAAAAGCCCTGCGGGTCATAGCATGGTACTTTCCTGTGAGAATTCTGTAGCCGTGTGTTGGGCTTTGTGTTTTACCACAGACGTACTGTTATTAGAAGAAAATATTTTGTATACAGCTCACGTCCCATATTTCTGCCCTAAGATTGTCAGGTAAGTACCTGATTCTTCAAAGTTGAACTTCAAACTGGAATCCCTCAATTTAAACGAGAGGCCTAGCCATTCCCTTTTTTTAGTTTTGAGTTTAGAATTCTCATTTCCTGTCTCTTAGTAAAGAACATTTTGTACTATAAAGTTTGCAGATGTTTGAAAAGGATGTGTGTTCTTTGGATTTAGGCATTAATAAGGGTTCCTTATAACTTCTTTCTCTTTTCTTTTTTCCAGATATGGGAAAATAGTCTCCACAAAGGCAATATTGGATAAGACAACGAACAAATGCAAAGGTATGTTTTCTTGGCTGGTTATTTGGTAAATGATAACTTTAGAAAAATGATGGAATTAAATTCCTGATCTTTGGTTTCAGAACCACCTCCATTTTCTTAGAAACTAGATCTTATATATCACCCAGTTTCTGTCTTGCACAGTGTCAGCATATTGCTTATGTTTGTCCCTGGTTAGGTTTTGGCTAGAAACCGAACAGCAGCTAGCAGTTTGCCAGAATTCCAGATTTGACGCCAGTAGAGTTAACATGCAAAATACTGGTTGGCATTTAGCCCTTGCTTTTAAAAGGGGAGTAGAGTTAGAAAATAGCTTTCTTTCCTGAGCCTGAGGAGATTAGAGCTGCTTACTGAAAACCACTGGACTGTACTAAAGAACTGAAAAGATTACATATTGTGCAAATTGGCTCTATTAATTAGAATAGAGTAGTTTTAAGCAGTACTTAATTACATGTTTCAATACTCCCAATTGTTCTCTGCTGAATGCCTGTTGACAATATTGGCAGCGGGGAGGAGAGAACCATTTTCACTGACCAAATTGTAATAGGCAAGGGAGGTCATGCACCCCTTTGAAATATGCTGCTGCATTAATTTGATGCACTGACCTTCAGTTTTCCATGTAATTAGGATGAGCTCATCCAGCCCCATGAGCTGGAAGAGGAGGCGTCTACAGTAGGCAGCCCTGATGCTCTGTGGTTCTGACTTTTAATGATCCAGCATCTTAACAATAGCCATGTGATTTCTAGGAAAAGGGAAGAATAGAGTCAGCTGACTTTGAATCTAACTACTGACCCCTTGAATTGAAATAAGTTGACAGGAATAGGCAGAGAAGGCAAATCTCCTCATTAATTAGACCCCATTTTTTTAAGTAGTAGTGACAGGGCAGTGGCTTAGCGCAATCTGAAAAAGGCAGAGAACGTAAATGAACCCTATGGTAGAGGCCTCTCCTTATAAGCCAAGCATTTCCTTTAATCTGAACTTGAAGTGGTTCATTGTATTTCTGTCTCTTCTTCAAAGTGTCTAAATGTAAAGGAGCTATTGTGGCAAATAGCTAAGCCCATGTTTTATCAATATGGTGCATTAAGACAGTTTTGCCTTGGGACAGTGAATAGAATGTGCTTTATATAGAGTGGTACCCAATAAATATTTTAAATGAATTAAACTAGGGAGAGTCAAATTGTAGACTGACATGCATATACTTAGTTTCCAAGATTAGTCTTATTTAGTATTTATAAATGATTTGGGAGAGCTGAGACACAAGAAAAAAATCTTTTGGTTTTATAAAGAAAAATAGGCCCTTACAGACATAAAAACAGGAAGCAGATCACCAACATTACTTTCAAACAAGAGAGAAATCCGAGTAGCCAAGTGGTTTTAGCCATACTTAACCTCCCCTCTTTTCCTTCCCCACCCCAAAATAAATCTTATATGTCAACTCAGTGTGTTGAAAAGCAGAGATGTCCTAATTAAGTAAAAGAAAGGATCCAGAGGTTAAATTCTTCACCACACCCCTGAACTAAAAACCATGCTATTTTACACTCTGCTTCAAAGCAATCTATTATATAGAAGCCAAAATTCCTCCAAGTGCTCCACATGATCTAGAAAAGATATGGGTAAAAATAAACTAATGCTAAATCTAACATGTTGTCATAATGCAAACCCTTAACATTTGTTAAGGGTCCACAGTGGAGAAATTTATGGACTTCTAACTAAGGGTAGGACTAATTCAGAACTGATGTTAGATACAAGAAGTCTCCTGGAGACCTTCCTTTAAAGTGGTTCTTAGGAGTCACTGCTTTTGGGTATGGGGACAGTAATACAAACCTCCCAGGGCTCTCTGCCTTACGTGAGCCTCCCAGCAATAGGTGTCAACAGATATCTGGTGGGTTGAGGGGGCGGTGAGTGAGTGAGTGGAGAGGGTAAGAGTGGGTTTATAAAATCCTAGAAGCGAGAAAAAAGTAATTTCAGGACAAATGAGAAGAAATAACACTTAACTTAGCTCATAATAAAGTTAGATAACATGTTACCCAAGATAACTTGACATGATAGATAGATAGATAGATAGATAGATAGATAGATAGGTAGGCATAAAGATGATTGATAAATTAATATAAATAAATGCATAAAACATTATAGAATATTAATATAAATGAAAGCTACTTGTGTTATATACTAATTTTTTAAATTAAACAGATCAAAGAACCTTATATATGGGAATGAGAAGTCTTACAGGGTTATAGAACATCTTTTGCCACAAAACGTATTTTCAGAACCTGTATTCTCAAGAGAATTTATCTAAAGGAAACATTAGACAGGATAACATTTTCCTAAGTTGTTAAATTTTAAAATTCACAATTCAGTTGCTGTTTTACATTTTAATTTTTAATCAAAGTTTAGCCAACAAAAGGCATTTATAGGCTCTCCAGTACTGGTAAATGTGGCAGTTCAGGACCAAAAAAAAGCTCACAGAAGATTGGTTATGAAATTGATTGATTAATTATTTATACTTACAGAAGTACATGTAAGACCAGAACACTTAACACACATGAGCAAAAATAGTTTCAGGATGAATTAGACCAACAGGAAAAATAAGGGTAAAAGTGGGCAGCTTTAAGTTATTACCAAATCAGGCCCTGTGTTTCCTAGTGGCCAAGGCGAAAATAGAACACATAGCTCTTCCCATGATTCAGTCATCACAATGTTAGAGAAAAACACAGGAAGCAAGAGTAACGTAACTATTCCTGGTCCTGAAATCTGAGAGGAATTCTCCTGGAAGCCTCAGTGAGAGGGCACCATGTTACTTAGTGAACCCTGCCTTCAAAAACATCTTTACATCTATTTATATAATCAAATCCATAGAGCCTGCATAACTTAAATTTTATATAGTCTTCTATTTACTTGAAAGTAATACAGGTAGAAAACATGAAAGCGCACAAGGTTTCATACTTAACTATTATGTTTGTTTTCAGCAAATGGTTATGAAACAGCCCTAGTGTAGTAGGCATTGGGAAAGGCCAGAAAAGGATGTGAAAAGTTAACTAAAATACAAGCATTATGGATTTCTCTATAAGAAAATAATAGATAAAAGAATGCTCATATTACCCGAGTAGATAGTAAATTCAAATATAATAACATCAAAATTGAGATCTGTTTATTGTAATTTGTTGACAATAGCAACATTGAAGGAAAAATCTTAAATATCCATCAGTAAAAGCTGTATCTTTTTCATCGTAGCTGGGTGCTCATTTATGACTCACTGAAACTGTATGTGAGAGAGAGAGTATGTGCATGTATGTGCGTGTGTGTGTGTATCCACAGAGCGTTGTTGCATGTTAGCATGGACAACAGATGTCTTAAAAAAACATCCAAGATAGGTTTAACCTAGTTGATAACCTGGCAGTTGAGTAGCATTCTCTGTTTTACCTAGATCAACCTCTTCCTTTTGCTTTCCAAACTGGCTTCTTCTCTACTGTCTAAATCAAATTAAGCCTTGTTTCAGCCCAATGCCAAGTTAATATAAGGAAGCTGCTGCTTGTTTCAGCGTTAACGTTCATCTCTCCTGAAACATCTATTCCTGTAGTCAATAGTCTGCTCCATCTCATTATAACTTATTTCGTTACCAGGCAATATTTTTGGTACTAATACTGTAAAACTGACTTTGTTTTGTGTCTGAGCTTTCTGTTTGACTTTATTGATATTGACTTTGACACTAGATCATACTATCTAAATTATTACTACTTTATAATATTCCTGTAAGTAAATGATAGGGCTGGCTCCTCTTCTAAACAACCTTGCAATGTCACTTTTTTTTTTTTAAAATATTCTTACTCATTTAAAATTAGTTTGAGTTCCAAGAAAGGTCCTGGTATTTTGCCTGGTACCTTGTTTCTTTAGTGTATTAAATATAACTTGACCCTTTTCTCAATAACTTAACAATTATCACAGAGGAAAGTCTGTGATTCCCTATTTTGATCCAGTGATACTCCTGGGATCTGTTGAGATTCATGAAGCTATTAGTGCTTAGGCTGTGTTAAGTCCTATTCTTTGCCTAGTTTTTCTCTTTTATTGCTTGTTAGTAGTTTTCTCTGCTAGACATCATTCATATACTTATGAAGGCAGATGACCAGCACATTAAAAATGTTTATGAAGCTATGGATAAAGAAACGTTGAACCAGAGTCTCTAGGAGGTTATGTGTTTTTTTGTTATGTTTTGTATTTAAACTTTAATAATGTGAACTGCCGAAATGTATTTTGGTGTCTTGAGGCATTTTTCCTAGCTCTTCTTTATTTTGAAAGGGTGTGATGAGCTGTATTTTAAGAAAATAAGTATGATGTCTTTAACCAAGTCCTAAAATTTTGATTATTTTATGTTTGGGGTGTCTAATAGTTGTACTTACTCTAATTTTCATAGATTATATTTGCAGCATCTAAAAGTTGTACTTATTCTAATTTTTAAAAGTTTACTAAATAAGCATAATTTTTGTTTCTGTCATTTGTAAACTCTGTAGGATGGCTCCGTCTTTCTTACTGAATCATTAAAATGCTGTTTCTCTGAAGTTGATTTTTTTTTCTTCCTTTTTTAAAAATTTCTTTTTTTTTAACCTTGGTTGGCAATTTAGATGTCATTTTTTTTCCCAGTAACTACAGGATATCTATGACCTTGAGTAGGGAAACACTGGTTCTTTAGCCCCCGACTCCCTCTGAAGGGAGGCTTGTCTGGCTGGTGATAGATGACAGGGAAGAAGAGCCCAGGAGGCCGCTGCCCTGCAGCTGCTAATGCCTGAGCTCCCTCAGGACATTTTCATCTCTCTTGCCTGCACCAGAAACAAAGTAGAGCCATTCATTTACCCTTTACCTAACCACAGAATAATAACTTAAATACTAAGTGTGTTTTGCATTTCAGGTTACGGTTTTGTGGACTTTGACAGCCCTGCCGCAGCTCAAAAAGCTGTGTCTGCCCTGAAGGCCAGTGGGGTTCAAGCTCAAATGGCAAAGGTGAGTTGAGAGCCGGCAATGGCTTCTCTGTTCCACAGCTTTGGTTGTGAAGCCTGACAGGTCTGCTTTTTCTGTCGCATCCTTATTCTCTCTCCTTCATCCCACTCAGCACAGCTCCTTCTGGACACTTGTCCTATGCCTCCGCAGCCTCTACAGTCACTATTGTGCAGAGGACTGTTCTTCATAACTTAACCCATGGAGGAGGATTTATAAATATATAAAATTTACATAGTAAATTATGTAACCCCATAAGTAAATTGAGAAATAGCAGATTTTCTCAGATAATCAGGTATTTGTGAGTCTTTAAGATCTGTCCTGTTTAAAAAAAAAAATTAAATGTCACTGCTTAAGAAATGTATACACTTCTAGACATGTTTCAAAAGATAATTGTGTATAGCATGTTCCATTTCAAAACTATATATAACTGGTGCATTATACAACTATTAAAACAAATAGTTTTAACACAAATGTAAGTTACAGATGCTAGTTTTTTGTACAGTAATGAGACATTTTTAGATATTGATTATTGATGAGATATAAATCTACTTTTTAGTAGTTCTATAATGACTTTATTCAAGACTTATTTCTAATGAACTTTTAGCATATTTTAGATGACCAATATTGTTGAAAATGTCTTCAGGTGAGGAATATACCTGAATGTTAGGGGAGTATAAAATGGGAGACCATGTTTCATGCTTAATATGTATTTTAGCACAGCACACATGGATATTAGTTATGATAAGATACATTTTCCTTGAAAACTTTCATGTTATGGTAGTTTCCCTCTACAGTTTTGACTTAGAATATCACAGTTTCTGAATGTAAATGGAGTTGACCAGCCAGTCATTGTGGCTTTCTCTTTGCATTAGGTTTGTCCTGAAAGTTAAAGATGCTCAGTCCCTCTTCCAAAAGTAATGATGCCTTAGATAGACTTGATGGCCTTGAAGAAGCTGGCTTTACATGATCTAAATCCCTAGTTCAGGTGCAGTCATAATTCTAAAGCTTGAGGGACCTTAGATTGTCTGGTGCATCCACCCCCAACCCCACTTTCAAATGGGCATGGCCTTTTTATTAAGAAGAGCTAAGGCTCAAAGAGGAGAGTCACCCTTGGAATGGCATGCATCTCTTAAGTGTTTATATTCTATAATATAGGTTCCATTATCCACCAAACACATTTAGGAGTCTCTGTTGAATAAACTGATATTTATGTCCCAGTCTTTATTATCCAAATGTAAGTTTGGGTTACATCCTATACCTACTTCGTACAGTGCAGTTATTAAGACATCTGTGTAATTATGTAATAAAAATTTGAGTCCTTCAGTTGCTACAGAAAATATTTTCAAGCCTGAAACTCAGCAGTTTGATATTTTGAGTATTCTTTTTAAAAAAGCAATACTTCTATATTATCTGGCTTCTTGAAGTAAAGAGGAAAGTAATTTTATACTACTATCTTCTGCTACATCTGAATGGTAGTATGGAAGTAGACATTGCCATTTAATATTTTTAAAACTTTACATTGAGTTGACTTACTTAAGATTTTCTTAAACTCCAAAGTAAGAAGTTAAAATAAACAGAAACTATATGTATGTGTGTGTGTAAATAAACAGAAACTGTATGTATGTGTGTATATACGTGTGTGTGTGTGTGTGTGTGTGTCACACTTTTTTTTTTTTTTTTGAGACAGGCTGGAGTGCAGTAGCACAATCTTGGCTGGAGTGCAGTAGCACAATCTTCGCTGGAGTGCAGTAGCACAATCTTGGTTCATTGCAACCTCCTCCCACCAGGTTCAAGCAATTCTCCTGCCTCAGACTCCCAAATAGCTGAGACTTCAGGCACCTGTCACCACACCCAGATAATTTTTGTATTTTTAGTAAAGGCAAGGTTTCGCCATATTGGTTAGGCTGGTGTCGAACTCCTGGCCTCAAATGTTCCACCTGCCTCAGCCTCCTAAAGTTCTGGGATTACAGGCATGAGCCACTGCACCTGGCCTCAGTAAATATTGAGCACCATGATTTTCAGATTGTTTGACCATCATTTAGAGCTTCCCTCTGACATTATTGAAAGACAGTGATTATGAGGTTTTAAATATGTTTTTTGTGACTATATGATACCTGTGTTGCATAATGATTTGCAGAATGTTTAATCTGGTTCTGTAAACAATGGGTACCCAGGTGCTGTATAAGCAAGACTCTTAGGGCACACTCATAAAATAACTTTCTTCTTTTCCTCCACTGCTCATTTATTAATAATGCACTCACTAAAGCTCCTTGCTTTTGGATAAAATCCTGGGCAAGTCTCACTTCTCCAGACACTGTCATTATTTCAAGAAGTTCCCCCAGCTTCTTTTGTTTCAGGTGTTTCTTGTTGATTTTTTTTTGTTTTCAGTAGAATGCCTCAATTTTTCATAGCCAAACTCCATAAAGCATACATACGTTTCAATACATTTTCAATCATTTCTGTCTATATTTACATTGTCCAACCTCAGTACAATACTTTTAACAAGACATATGTGAACAGTCTCAAGTTGCTTAGCAAATACAGTTTGTAGAATGTCAGACTCGTGTAGATGTTTTTAAAACTGCTGAGAGTCAATATAAGGGATGTGTGTCTTGGATATTGTTGGTGCTGAGAGAGAGATCATAGACTGAAAAGCAATTGTTGGCTGACAACCATATTGATTATTTGGTGATCAGGAAGCCGTGTCTCCATCCCAACAGAACCATTTGTTATATGTATGCGCACACACAAAGAGACAGATGTAATGACTGTATTTAGTTGCATTGTAGGGAATTATAGAAAAATAGGAAAACAAAATAGTTACATTTTAGACAACTTGGTTGAGGATTATGACTGATGTGTAATACATTATAAATTTTCCCTATTTGACATAAAGTAAAATAGACTCTCAGTTATCATTTTGATGCTGAATTTCTCATTTTCAGGAACAGATTATGATGTTAAGTATGTGATGCTTATAATTTAATACTCCAATACTGTTTATTTGACAAAAATTTTGAGTATCATGTAGTAAATCTTCAGCTGAAGCTTCTCCCTTCCCTGGATTAGGTCTGCGCCAAGTAGCAAGTTTATAGTGAGATGAGCACACGATTAATTTCTTTCCTATTTCAAAAGTTTGTTTTTCCCACTCTTCCTTCAGCTCACTAGCCGTGGCTTCATTTAACCCCTGCAGGGTTGGTGTGCTGGAAATGGATGACCTGACAAAGAGGTCATCTGATGTTGATTTTAGCCAGGCAGCATGCTGATGCTTTCTCTCATGGAATGCTTTGGTTTTCTGAGATCTTTAACCAACTCCATCCCCACTTCCCCAGATAGATCTTTGTCCTAAAGCTCCTTGAAGTGAAAGAATACATGTCCTCAGGTTGACATGCTCAGCTCCTGATAATCTGATGGTCTATCTTCAGCCTCTTTCTGCTGGGATTTCTTTGCCCCTCAAAGCAGCCTTCTTAGGAGGATCTAACACAACCCTGGGCCATCTCTGTGTGGCCCACATCTGATGTACCTTTGCTAGTCATCGCTAAGAGAGAGTTACTTCCCAGTCACACTTGTCGGCCCTTCAGCCTTTCTCCTTGAAGATCCTTAGATTTTAAGTTGGACATCAGTCTGTTGTAGCCACTCAGCTTCTTGAAACTCAAATTAAGCTCCCTGAGTGGTTGCCCCTCTTGCTTGACTGACAGTAAGAGGAAAGTGGTTCAGTTGTTGAGACTTGGAACACCTCAGCATTTCCCTACCAATAAATGCTCACTCTCAGTCTCTCCAGTTTCTTACACACAGATAGGAGGTGGGTGGTCAGTTAAGTGTCCCAAACCAGTTCTCAGCCAGTTCCTTGTAGGCTATCTTTAGGTGGTCTAGTTTCTCACTCTGGAATATTGGAGCCTGACACTCAGTGTTTTGTGGTCTCTGCTGAAACAGAATTAAAAAGGGTTGTATTTTAGCAAAACCTAAAATGCAATTAAAGAAAAAAAAAAAAGAATGTAGAGGCTTCATTCATAGTGGCCCCTGAACACTTACCTAGGAATCAGTTCCAATGCCTGTAATATTAAGCAGCATAGAATATTAAATATACACTGTTTTGAAGAAGGCTTTATAATGCATTTATTCAAAACTGGACTGGGTATGGATTGGCACTATATGTTGTGTCTACAGTGCTCTTCAAGTAGTAGCTTTTCCCTAAGTTGAAAATGAGCACTGTTCAAAGACCTCTTTAGGAAGCTTGATATTATGAATTGGCCAGGGAAAAGGACCCCTTCCTCCATCATCTGTGGTGAGGACAAGTATTCAGGTTCAGAGTTACTGACCAGGTGCCAATATTCTGCATATTGTGAATTTCTTTAGGTCTCTGTAGAATGACTGGAAACTCCTAGACCTGATTTCTTTTTTATTATATCATTAAAGTTACAAAAGATATTTTAAATGTCAGTGGGTTTATTGTTCTATATAGCATAGAACCATGAGTCTGAGTATCTAGACCTGACTTAGCCCCTTTATGCTGTCTGGATAAAGGAGCACCTGCCACACATTCTTTCAGGGAGACAGATTTTTTTGTTTTGTTTTTTGAGACAAGATCTAGCTCTGTCACCCAGGCTGTAGTGCAGTGGGGTGATCTTGGCTAACTGCAACCTGCGCCTCCCAGTTTCAAGTGATCCTCCTACCCTCAGATTTCTGAGTAGCTGGGACTACAGGCACATACCACCACACCTGGCTAATTTTTGTATTTTTTGCAGAGACCAGGTTTGCCATGTTGCCAGGCTGGTCTTGAACTCATGAGGTCAAGCAGACCACCTGCCTGGGCCTCCCAAAGTGCTGGGATTATAAGCATGAGCCACCACACCCAGTGGGGAGATGATTTTTAAAAGGAATTTTAGTCCATCTCCTGTGCTTGGATGATAGGGAGGGAACCCATCACTTTCCACTTTCCTCTAGTGAACTAATCAGTATACTAGAATGTGCCGAAAACTCGTATTTCCATATGCCTTTCACTAGAGGAAAGTGGAAAGTGATGGGTCCCCTCCCTATCATCCTTACATAATCAGAAAAAAAAAAAAAAGGGCAATCACTTAGAGGATAGGTGCAGAAATATAATATTGTTTGAAATACTGGCTACCTGAGTTGAAAAAGAACCCCACAAATATTTAAAACTAAATTGCAAAACTGCAAATTGTGAGCATTAGAGACCAGTGATTGTTTTTTATTCGTGTTTTAGTTTTCAGTGCTTTGCTTGGTACCTGCCATATGGTAGGTTTTAAGTATTTGTTTAATTGATGATCAAAGAAATTAATTGAGAAAATAACTTTTTTCTAAGTTTGGGCAGCTATTGAGTATTAAGAAAGGGACAGTTAAAAATTATACCCATCAAGTACGCTGATGAAACTTAACCAACAGTAATGGCCTTGGGCCTTTTGGAAAACCTGTTTATGTTAAACTAGGCAAATGTTACAAATGTGTGCATCTTTCAAATAGACGACTCAGATTATATAAAAAGAAAAGAAACGCAGATAATGAGCTACAAAGACAGAGAAACAGAAATCTCAAATGGGGATTGTTTATATCTATTGACATAGTGACTTCTGTAGGTCATTCAGTTCCTCCTTTGGCCTAACAAGCGTCAGCAGATCCTCGTATGTTGTTTGGCTTTTAGGAAGTTTACACATTTTTTTCAATAAATAGGCGGTCAAACAAGCAGGAATGCTGTCCCCCCTCCATGCAGAGCTCCACCATACTCTGAGCAATTTGCAGTCACATGCCAGTGAGTGGCTATCTGCTGGTTGGTAAACCTATTCTGTACAGGAGAAGTCAGGTGTCTGCTCTTTCTGCCAAGTCCCCATTCTTGCATTTTAGGAACCATACCACATGTATGGGGAGGTTTTTGTTAATTTCTTTCGAATGATGACTGAGTGCTTTATGCTTTGTGGGACTTCTGAGCCTGGCTTTTCTACTCACGTGAACATTGGTAGCTGTTTATCCCTCTCATGGCCAATGTGGGATCTAGTTTTCTACTTGTTTTTTTTTTTTAATTGCATTTTAGGTTTTGGGGTACATGTGAAGAACATGCAAGATTGTTGCATAGGTACACACACAGCAGTGTTATTTGCTGCCTTCCTCCCCATCACCTATATCTGGCATTTCTCCCCATGCTATGTCTCCCCAGCTCCCCACTCCCCGCTGTTTCTCCCTTCCCCCCCCAAACTTGTTAATGGAAGCCTTTGAACCCCTTCCATTCCTAGGGACAAAGGAGGCCTGTGACACCATTTTTATGTTTGGTCACCTGTAATTGAAAGAATAAGTGTTTTTTTTTTTTTTTTTTTTTTCAGACATAGCATTGTAAATAATAAACCAGTTATGGTTGTCACTGATTTTAAACATACTAAAAGTATTATATGTCCTGTTCACAGTGAATGTGTGGTTATAAGAATGCATGGACAAAAACTAAAAAGAAAGTAAAATTTAAAGAGAAAAAAAAAAAACATGAGAAGAAGGTATTTAAAAAAGAAAAGAATTTCATGGACACTTTCTTATTTTGTGGCGTGTGCTGCCAGCTTGGAGTTTCTTTGGACAAAAACTAAAAAGTGAAATTTAAAAGGAAAAGAAAAAAACACCCATGAAAAGAAAGGATTTAAAAAAAAAAAAAAAGAAGAAGAATTCACACACATTTTATTATTTTGTGGCATGTGCTGCCAGCTTGGAGTTTCTTCCCATTCTTTTTTTTTTTTTTTAGTTATTACAACTTTGTGGGCAATGTGTTTGCAAGGTATGTTGACCATTTGAAAAGAAATGTAAATAATGTTAGCCCTAAGGATCATCCCAAATGAAATTAGGTTTTTAACTGACAGGGCTGTGGCTACTGAAAACAAATGCATTAACATGATAGAAAATAATTACCTGCATTAGTCTACACTGTTTCACTATATCAAAGCGTGGGTTAAGAGCACAGTTTCTTTCTGGATTCTGATTTTTTAGCACTTTTTAATATTATTTCCTCATCAGTATACTTTCAAGTTGAATCAAAAATTTAAAGCATGTGTAATATTTTAAATAATATTTTAATAACAGAAGCAACTGAAACACAGATTTAGTGCCTACATTGTCGATCCCCTTCTAAAAATTCTTCACACATAATAAATTCTCCTGTGAACATTCTTAAATATGACATTTAGATTTTCCTAATTGTAATTTTAAAAGAAAGTTCACTCCATATATATATATATGTGTTTGTGTATGTGTGTGTGTGTGTGTGTGTGTAAAGAGAGAAAGAGAGACAGAGAAATAGTCTTATTCTATTACCCAGGCTGGAGTGCAGTAGTGTGATCACAACTCACTCCAACCTTGAACTCCAGGGCTCAACCAATCCTCCTGCCTCAGCCTCCCAAATAACTAGGACTACAGGTGTGTACCACTACACCTGGTTAATTTTTTTTTTTTTTAAAGAGATGAGATCTCACTGTGTTGCCTAGGCTGGTCTCAAACTCCTGGTCCCAAGCAATCCTCACACCTTGGCTTATACTGGGATTTACAAGCATGAGCCATTGTGCCTAGCCTCACAATATTTTGATACGTGTTTCTTCTGTAACATTTTTTATACCACATCTCTGTCCAAAGGGTGTCTTAGTGCCCTTCAATTAAGGGTCCCTATCTTTATTAAAAGATAGAACCTAAAATCAAATCTAAGATGGGTTTGATCATATCATTCCCCTGCTTCCATGCCTCTGAAATCTCCTTATTTTTCAAGATGTAGCTTTCAGACTGCAGTTTCTCCTCCCATTTCCCCATCACCTACCGGAGTACAATCACGTGTTGCTTAATGATGGGGATACAGTCTGGCGAATGCATTTTTAGGTGATTTTGTCATCATGTGCACATCATAGAGTACAATTAGACAAACCCAGATGGTGTAGCCTGCTCTCCACCCAGGCTATGTGGTATAGCCTCTTGCTCTTAGGCTACTATCCTGTACAACCTCTTACCGTTCTGAATGCTGTCAGCAGTTACAATATAATAATAAATATTTGTGTATCTAAACATAGAAAAGGTACAGTAAAAATATGGTATAAAAGATAAAAATGGTGCACCCTTATAGGGCACTTACCATGTCTGGAGCTTAGAGGACTGGAGGTTGTTCTGGGTGAGTCAGTGAGTGAGTGATGAGTGAATGGGAAGGCATAGGACATTATACTGCTGTAGACTTTATAAACACTGTACACTTAGACTGCATTAAATTTATTTTTAAAAATTTATTTCTTTAATAAACTGGCTTATTTTAATTTTTTTTACTTTATAAACTTTTAAATTTAACTTCTTGATTTTTTAATACTTAGCTTAAAATACATTGTACAACTGTACAAAAAAATATTTTCTTTATACCTCTATTCTATAAGCATTTTTCTATTTTAGAATGTATTATTACTTTCTAAACTTTTTTGTAAAAAATTAAGATACCAACACACACATTAGCCAGGGCTACACAGAGTCAGGATCATCAAGATATCACCAGGTGATAGGAAGTTTTCATTTCTGTTACAGGACCACCATCATATATGCCATCTGCCATTAACTGAAATGTCATTATGCAGCTCATGACTGCATGATATAACAAGATAAACATGGCTTATCTTCCTGGAGTATCAGTGTTACTTACTGGTATTAGGTCCAAAACATTGTTTCTCTATTAAGGTAAACTTAGGAAGTAGATTGCAAAATGTACATTACTTTTTTTAAAGATAAAACACAAGACTTCAAGAACATTTTTACGTAATTATTCTTGCTTTCAGCACTGCTTAAGTAGGAAACTTGAAGCAGCAGAGACTGACAAAATCAAACCTTTTAGATAGCCTTTTGCAAGCCTCTTGACTTCTGTTTGATCCATGGGTCCCAAGTCAATGCTGTGTCCTCTGAACAAAGTATTTTCTCCCCTATCTACTCTTGAGTTTAGCTTTTCCAAGAGTCTAAAATTTGCCCTACTCAGAACAGACTATTGTATATGGCTTTGTGATTTCTTGTTTTTGTTAAATTAGCTGTTTTTACTATTGGTGATCATTACTCAAAACTGGTATGAACTTTGCCATAGAGCAGAGGATGGGAATTTGGGCAGAGTCCCTGTTGGACTCTAGATGACTTGGTCCAGAATCCTTCATATATCTCTAAATTGAATTATTAGCAATAATAGCTTCCTGAGCAATAGTGTGCCTGAAATGGACTCCTAAAAATAACAGTGGAGGAGAGGTCGGTTATTTTTAGAAATACTGCAAACAGCTGAGAGTTGTGGTTCCATGAGGGCATCCACTCCAACTCAGTAGTGCCATTTTCAGATCTGCTCACAAGAGCTTGGTGGGATCATGTCTGGCCTGTACAAATTGTCCAAGCTTCAGACACTGTTTTCAAGTGTCCAGGGTGACTTTGGTGTTCTGTAGTTCCCATGGTCTTACTTAGTACTTTAAAAAGACCTGAGCAATGAAAGTAGCTAATAAAAATAGGTGTATTAACATAAATATCTCACCTTTAATTAATTATTGGAAATTAATGAACAACACTCTCTTCTCTTTTAGCAACAGGAACAAGATCCTACCAACCTGTACATTTCTAATTTGCCACTCTCCATGGATGAGCAAGAACTGGAAAATATGCTCAAACCATTTGGACAGGTTATTTCTACAAGGATACTGCGTGATTCCAGTGGTACAAGTCGTGGTGTTGGCTTTGCTAGGTAAGCCCGTTGCCCTGTCTTTATTATGTCAACAGCAATAGCTTTGCCAAGTTATCTTGGAAAATTAAAAATGACCAAGAAAAGAGAGTGTAAGCTAGGGTTATGGGAGCAGTTGCACCATGAACTTAAATTACATGTAAATTCTGGACTGCATTTTTCCAGATCTTTTGCATTGTTCATTAGAATTCATAAAGCTGAGCACACAAAATATTTGGAGCCTCATGGAAAGGAGCTATCACATGAGCAAAAAGTTCTGAATGTGTGTATATCCTTAGATCAGGATGCTTCTAACTTTTTAAAAATAGCAGTCTCCTAAATTTCATAGATAAATCTGTTTGTTTTTTCTTATTAGATGGAAATTCAATTCATCAATAAAGTAAATGAGTTAGGTTTTAAAAGAAATATTTAAAATATTCAGAAAGTAAAACAAGGACATGATACCTGTGTAACCACCACACAGATTTGACAAATATTAACATTTTATAATTTCTGTTTCAGATCTTTTTTTAAAGAAATAAAATCTAGGCCAGGCATGGTGGTTCATGCCTGTAATCCCAGCACTTTGGGAGGCCAGGCGGGCAGATTACTTGAGGTCAGGAGTTCAAAACCAGCCTGGCCAATGTGGCGAAACCCTGTCTACTAAAAATACAAAAATTAGCTGGACGTGGTGGTGGCAGGTGCCTATAATCCCAACTACTTGGGAGGCTGAGGCATGAGAATCACTTGAACCTGGGGAATGGAGGTTGTAGTGAGCCAAGATTACACCGTTGCCCTCCAGCCTGGGCAATAGAGCAAGACTTAGTCTCAAAAAAAAAAAAATAGAAAGAAAGAAAATCTGCGGCTGCACGCAGTGGGTCACGCCTATAAATCCCAACACTTGGGAGGGGGGGCCAAGGTGAGAGGATTGCTTGAGCCCAAGAGTTTGAGACCAGCTTGGGCAACATAGCAAAACCCTGACTCTACAAAAAGTTAAAAAAGTAGCCAGGAATGATGGCATATACCTGTAGTCCCAGCTACATGGGAAGCTGAGGCAGAAGGAGTGATTGAGCCCAGGAGTTGGAGGATACAGTGAGCCATGATGATGCAACGGCACTCTACCCTTGGTAACAGACCCTGTCTCTCAAAAAAAAAGTCTAGGTGTAACTAAAGTGCCCTCACTCCTTCCATCTAATTTTTATCCCTTACTCCACAGAAAAAAAGAAACTTCGGAGTAGTGGTTATTTTGGTTTCTGGTGGAAAAATAATAAATAGAGCTATGATTTTTATCAGAATTCTAATCCAAAAGCCCATGTATAAAAGCTGATTTTTATATGATGCATTAATTAGAAACATTAATACTGTGCAATAACAAATAATATGTACATATTTTAAGGTATTGACTTTGATTTTATAGGAAAAATTTCTGAGAGTTTACTTTTATACACAAATGACAATCACATGCTATATCACATGTGATATAGCAACAAAGTATTATTATTACATGTTGTTTTATATATGAGAAAATTGAGACAAGAAGGGAACTTTTCCGTTGTTACCTAACTGCCAAATGATGAAGCAGGGGCTAATACTTGCTTCAGCTGGATTTCAGTTCATTGCTCTGTTGGGTCAGATAATTTTATCATAAAACGAAAATATCCTACTAGTAGTAACTCACAAAGGCCAGCATTTTCAGTGCATGCTCCACTGGTTAAAATGACGCAAGTGAGTCACTGAATAGCTCAGCATTATCTTGTCACCTCTGTGGGTGTTCTGAAAACAGATCAAGTTGTATCATTTCTGTATCCAAAGACAGAATTCAATTAAATTACATTGTTTTTTGAAACTGTCACTGTTTGTTAAAACTAAGGTGTAACTCTCTGAGTAGTCTAGGAGTATAGAGCATTTTAAGTAGCTTATTCAGCGTTTCTTCCATTAAAGAAAAATAACTTGAAATAATTTAAGTTCCTAGCAATGTTTCTCAGATACTTTCAGCCACCTGTGTGTATAGAATAAGTTGTAAAGTTAGTACGACTTTACTCAGCCTTTACTCTTCCAAAGGCAAGGTGACAAAGAAGGTATACAGTTGATTTCAATAATTTAATTTTTAACCTGAAACAAATCTAAGAAACATACAGAGCACACCCTCTCATTGACACCGGTTGTTATCATGACTTTTTAGTCTGTCATTTTGTGAATTGTAACAGCAAAGACAATTTTTAAATGACTAGTATTTTAGCAAGTAGAAAATGCACTAGTATTTTAAACTGTTGTTTCTTCAATTCAGTATTATGGCTAACAAAGCTATTGTGTATTGATTTTTCAATTTTACAACAATTAGAATAAAATTATTCATTTGATATACTTGGTATTAAACATTCTCGATATAATGGAGTCTTGCTTTGCTTCAGAATATACTCTATGGTTATCGGTTATCATTTTACTATAGAAGTGCAAAAGCGACACTTAGCTAAAAGGTAGACTAAACGCTTTATCATATTCACATTTTTACTAGGTTTCATTTGCATCCAAAAAACCTATAAGACTGTTTATGCATGCACAGAACAAGATGAAAGCTAAGAGATCTTTAAATATTTATGTATTCTATTTTTATGTATAAATAGGATGGAATCAACAGAAAAATGCGAAGCTGTTATTGGTCATTTTAATGGAAAATTTATTAAGACACCACCAGGAGTTTCTGGTATGTTGTTTGTCTAAAACTTTATCAGTAGTCTTCTATATGATGTATGTATAACTTTAGCACATGTTGACTCTTCATAGAACAAAAACCCCTCATTTTGCTAAGATGCATTTTGTTGGATTTACAAATAAGACTTAAAAAATCACCTCTCCCTAGGGATTGGATGCTTAAAGATGAACGGAAGCAGTGGTAAGGAGCTGACTTGTAAGGTGTTGTGCAGTTCACTCCTCTTTTGATACAGTAGCCAGCTTCTAAGCCATCTTATCACCATCCTCAGTAACCTCCCTTCATTCAATCATATCCATTGAGCAATGTACCCTTCTATCTCAGCAGTGCTTGGACCTCAGCTCCTATGGCTTTTATGTCCACTCCACCTTAGCCACTTTCTCCCATGGTTTTACTTTGTGTTGTTATTACCAAGAATACCATACTCCTAGGTTTTTCATTCCAAGGTCATCCTTCTCATTCCACTGTTTGTTCATCCTGCTTTACCTGTTTCTCTTTCCTACTAAATCTGGCCTCCATTTTTTAGTGTTAAAATCATTTCTTAAGTGGGATTCTCCTTTTTCTTGCACCCCATCCCTTGGTTACACTAATGTCCAGGTTCAGAATGCTGAACCTCGATTAATCCTGCATAATTCACCCACACAAGTCCTGTTACATCCATGCAGCCAAAGATTGGCACCACCAATTAAATGTCTTCAGCTTGACCAGTTGCTCAGCACCACCAGTCCTCACTCGGCTTTCTTTCCCTTTCCTAGCAGCAGTTCTCACTTTCCCCAGCCTACTTGCCCCATACCTAACCCACTTCAAAGCTCTCAAGTGGATGACTTCACTTCCTTCTTGATGAATAAAATTGAGATCACCGGGTAGTAGCTCCTTCAGCTTCCTCCCAGTAAGGGGACCTACACCCACATCCAGTCTTACCACGCTCCTTTCTTAAAGTCTCAAGGACAAGGGTTTAGAAGCTGTCCTTGAGATTTCATCCCATTGAGACATTGCTCTGCCAATCATTACCTCCCTCTCCTGTAATTTCAGTCTCTGTCTTTTGCTTTTGTTCATTTGTTTTTCAGCAAAGCCAAGAAATTGGATTTTCAGTTACTGAAGTAACAGATATATAGCAAGACTAATTGGTGAGGAGATGGGGGGAAATGTGCAAACAAGTAATACTGGGAACAAAACTTGTGAACATAACTACAATAGACGTTTTTTAAATCCCAGGATTCGGGGAACAAAAACTATGACTACTTCATGCCAAAAATATTCAAGAAGATAGCCATTTGTGTTTGAAATCATTCAAGTCTTTGCAATCTAGAAACTAAACTAAGCACTCCGGTTCTTTAGAACACCTCATGTCAACACTTTTGAAGTTTAGTCTTCACTTCCTTACTTCCCATTTATGCCTCAGCTTTCTCCATTCTGACATTCCCTGGTGTGCAGTTGAAATTCCTCTTGGTAAACTTACAGTGTTAGTTTGCTAGATAGCCATAATAAAGTACGGCAAGCCAGGTGGCTTAAACAACAGAAACTTAGCATCTCAGAGTTGTGGAGGTCCGAAGTCCAAGATGAAGGTGTTAGTAGGGTTGCTTCCTTCTGAGGGCTGTGAGGGAAGGACCTGCTCCAGGCCGCTCTCCTTGGCTTGTAGATGGCTATCTTCTCCCCATATTTCCTCACAGCACCTTCTCTCTTTGTGCATCTGTCTCTGTGCCTAGATTTCCGTTTCTTAGGAAGACCCTAGCCATCTTTGATGAAGCCACCCCGCCGACCCCTGTGATCTCACTTTAACTTTGATGACCCTGTCTGTAAGTAAGATCACATTCTGAGGGCTCGGTGTTCAACCTGTAACTCTTACTTCTTGATTGCCCCATCTGGAGAATTTCCCCTTTTTTTTATCCTGTGTCTGTCTGCTGTATGTATTTGGGACTGCTGGTCCCTCACTCATCCGTGAAATGTGTCCTCCCTTGGCTTATTTTATACCTGTCTCTGTTTTCTTCCCATCTTGTGTTGATCCCTTCTCTTTTGTAAACTTGATTCTTCTGTCTGCTCCTAATTGTTAGTGTTGCCCTGAATTCCATTTTTGGCTCAGGATTCTGATAATTTTATCTACTCTCAAGGTTTTAACTACTACTTACATTCATAGTCACTGACTCTCATTTATCTCTCATCCTGGCTGTTCCCCTGAGTTTCAGACTGCCTGGCCTCAGTTACCTTACATTCATCTTCTCCAAAACTGCCTAAGTCCCCTTACCTCACTTGCCATCTAATTCTGCTCTTCCTCCTATTTTCCTGCTCTCAGTTAGTAGAACCAGTATCTACCCAGACACCCAAGCCAGAAACTTAGGACTGGACTTCACCACCTCCTCTGTCCTTTGTAGCTCACATACAAATAATCATTCAATTCCCTAAATTTTTCTTCCTGATTATTTCTAGAACCTACCCTCTCCCTCTAGTGCTCCTATCATTGCCTAGTTTAATTTCGGATCATCTCTCATCTGTGCTATTGCATCAGCCTCCTCATTCCCTGCCCTATCTCATCTTACCTCTCTAAGATATTCTCCCTGACTGTAGCCAGAGAGATTTAGATAAAATATACACCTCCATGTCACTTTATTGTTAAAAATCCACCCCCTCTCAGGAGGAAAAACCGAGGTTTTTTGGAATGACATGGAAGGCCAAAGGTGAATGGAGTCCTTGCCTACTTCTGCAGTCCTGTCTCCCTCCATCCTCTGTCTTCCTGCTTATCCTCCTCCAATACTGAACTACAAACAGTATCCCCAACCCACTGTGCTGCATCATTTCTCTGGGCTTTCTGAACTCTCATGGTATCCAGTGGCCCAGATCCCTTTGGTTTCTTTTAGCCTGGCTCTCTCTTCCTCAGCCTTCAAGACTCTGCTCATGGCTTGCCTCCTCCCTGCAAGGACCTCCTCTGACCCAGTTCATCACTTCGAGGGCACCTCCCTGTAGTATGGAATTCAACGTGTTTGCATGTGTCAGTCCCACTAAACTGGAAGCTCCTTGAAGGCAGAAGCTATATCCTCAGCCTTTTATTTTCATGCCCACCACAACATTTGAGCCATACTATGCAAGAACAAATATTTATTGGTTTTGAATACATTTTACTATACTATAACACCAGGACACTACTATGTCCTTAACAAGCTAGCATATGGGAGAAATTGAAATGTCTTCGTCTTCTGATCTGATTTCCAGCCAGCCAGTAGCATGCTTCCTGCCAGAAGGGAGAAAGTTTCAAAATTTAGAAACCACATCACCTTGCTTTGAGGGGAAGGTAATAAAATTGTTAAAACAGGGAAAAAGAAAAAACAAAAGCCACATACATCTTCCTCCATTTTTCCTCCCCTGTAATTTTAGTCATAGTGTGCTTAGCTGGCATAATACATCTGTAATTCCACTTCCCAGTCTGTATCCCAGATCAGCAAGGCTTCATTGATCCTTTGGTCCACGTAAGCTAAAAGCCCCACTGTCCAGCTTCTGCCCAAGCATGCCCAAGGGTTAAAGTTGAGGTCTTACTTAGTGTCAGGTGCAGGTCTGGAGGGGGAGCCTTGAATTGCTACTCTGGCCACCTGTTTGTTGGAATCTCTTAAGTGGGTTAGCCATATCAACAAGATTTATCCCAAATACTCAGGCTGGGAGAGCAGACACTCATGCTCATCTCTGAATGGGGGAGGCATCTTTAAAATGAGCAACTGCCACAGAATCCACAAGAACTAGAAAAGAGTGCCCCATTTGCCAAAGCACAGATTTTTGCCACTTTTTCTATGCAAAAATACGTATACACTGAAGTTAATAGATTGAGTGAATTGAACCTTATTAAATAACATGAAAAACAGGTCAGGCCCAATCTTGAAAGCAAGCACAGAGGCCATAGAGAATATCTATCCCAGTTTTTCATGTGAGAGACAGCCAGGAAACATTGAGGTATTTTGAAGTTAGATTCATTCCAGCCAGAAGTCATTGAAGTGAGCAGTTTCGCCAAGGCTGTGCGTGTATAACTACTGTTTAGTACTTATTCTGCTATAGCTCCACGGTATTATCTTTAGCTAGATGACTGATGAGTACCATTAGAAATTCACTTTAATTTTCTGTATTCAGTTGCGTTTTATTTCATAGAGAAACTAATTTGTATATGCAGTTCCACAGGCTACACCTGATCTTGTAATACTAAAACCTGAGAGCACACTGCATTTGTGACTGTATCTGAAGTTGAACTGCTTACATGCACAAATTTGGAATATCAAATATAAAACCTGGAAGTACATTATTCCCAAAAACTTAATCTAGTGGAAGAGCTTCGTTGTTTTTTTTTTTTAAGTTAGTATTGTTTTCCCATCAACATCAGTAGAGTTGAAAAAAAAAACAGAGAAAATAATGTTTTTAACTTCTGCCCAAGTAAAGACAAAAGAAATTTTGTATGTGGGAGCCTTTTGTAAACCCTACTCTGCCAGCCTCTGATGTTGAGCTCCTGTGTCCAGCTGGTGTTTTCTTGCTTCTACTGTGTCAGCCTTTGCATGAGCAGGGCGCCACATATTACTCCCTTTGAAGGGGCTGTTCCACCTCCTTGTGACCACCTGCTCATCCACCTACTTGTGACGTCTTCACTTTCTTAACTCATTCTTATGTGCAACAAGCAAAGTTTGAGAAGGAGAAACATCTAGGAAACTTTTGTTTTGATGGTGTATCAATCTAAGATAAGATCTTCCATGTTGAAGGAATGGTTTGCGAAATTAATAACAACAACAAAAGATCTTCATTTCCTTGAGAGTGAAGTAGATCTCAGGGTGTCACAGATCAAGGTTAGACAGTCTCTTTTTTTCCCTAAGAACTTTATGGTTTTATCATTTAACTGTTTTCTTTGAAGCAGGTTTCCAGACTACTGGTCACATCCATTCAAGGAGGAAAAAAAAAGCCCTAGATTTTCAAACCACATGTAAATGATCATAGGATCCTCTGCACATTTACAGCTAGTAGAGAGTAGTTTC